CGAAGCAGATTACCGGTACACTTCTCAGGCATCGTCGGGTAAAAATGCTACACAAGTGGATAAAAGCAGTCTTCCCGTTTTAACTGTCCAACGGTCTCATCAGAACCGTTTAAAGTAAGAGTAAGTGGGGAGGAAAAGACATGGGAATCGCGTTTGTACAAACCGCATGGATTCGATGAATGATTTAAATCTCATTTACATTTGGATACGGAAATGAGTCCGCTGCATCATTTTCGACAGCTGCACAGCTTGGAAAACGCACCAATACCTAACCAGTATCCACATCTCGAAATACCCTCATTCCACATTAAATCTAATAATGCATAAATTTGTTTTATCAAGCAGTCAAACTGCACAATGCAATCGATTACCGTCTTCATTGCACTAGACAAGTAAGATGGAATAGACCTTTTGCGACAAGTTTAGGTGACGGCGAACAAGATCCAAACGAAGACTGATAGTGAGGATCACAACAGCTGTCACCCCATAGGCCAAAAATATGAGTGACCAGAGAGTGTGGCTCAGAATGATGTACGCGATCGATAGATTTCCCTAAATCAATGCGGCTAGTGAACCTCCTCGAAGCCCAGATTGAGCGGAATTTTACCAAAACTTGATCCACCAGTCGACGGATCATGGTCATGAGTTGAGACCCGATCTTAAGTGTGGATAAATGCATTCGAGATATATTTCATCAAGTCGAAGCTGACTGACCTGCAACATATGCGCTCTGTTTCGGTTACCCTAGCGAGGCCTTATGGAACTAGCCCCTCCAAGTCCGGCGGGGTGTAGGTGACCAGTTTTCACCACTGAACAGCAAGTCTTTATCACAATGGAGTCTACTGTTCATGCAGATGAAATAAAATGGATGCAATCATTGGAGGCTGAAAATAATTACTATTTTGGCAGAGGTGTTCAGAGTGTAGAGTGAATCAAGGACGTAATTGGAGATTTCCTGCGGTTTTCTTGCAGTTTCATTTGTGTAGCGCTATCAGTATCCTCATTCAGTTACATTAGCAATCGTAACAATCAATTATTTAGCATATTAAATTTCACATGCTCCTGGGTTCAAACCGTGTTTAACAAACCACGATGCAAGAATCCTAATACCAAAGAAATTAATTCATGACTTGTTCCTTGATGTGCAAGGTTTCTCAAATCAAAATAAGTGATTGTCTGGAGACTAACCACAGGATTCTCTTCTACTGGTCAAATCCTGATCTACAGGATAACTCGGTGGTAAGTGAAAACAGCAGTCCAGTTGTGACTGATTCCGATCACTCGGATATTGCATTCTTTGGGCACCATTCAATTGCCAGGAAGCTGGGAAGGATAGCAAGTTTAATAGGCCAATCCAAACGGGAGCAAAATCAGGACCAGATTGTCCAAGAGGCAGTTTGGGTGCCTCTTCTTGTGATGTTTGAAATCGGAATCTGTCCTACTGCCGTATCCTTCAGTGTCTCCAACTAGCCGATTGCAGTCTTTTGGACCTCAGGCTGGAAGACGAGAGACACCTACTCCACCGAATAGCGCTGTGCATTTCTTTATGCCTCGTCTCCATGTCACCTGTTCACCCTCACTTGTTTTTTTCCAACCTGCAGCCACAACTGCGAATAAGGCTCGATGCAGAAGGAGATAGTTCGGCATGTGCAATACGCGTCCTAAGCAGCGAATCCGACTAATCTGTATTCGATGGGACAAAAGAATTCTCCATCAAATCATTACCAAACACGCGATGCCTCACCTCGG